ATTTAAATTAAAAAGTATCGGTATAATGATGACACAGCCTGCAAGACAGGAGTCAATGAGCTAGTGAATGACTTACTTAGAGGAATCACTGAAAGTTGTTTGGAAAAAAGTTAATATCTAAATGTAAACACACACTTGATATTTCATATTCTTAATTTGTAATGTTTTCCTTTAAGCAGACATTTATACTTCAAACTTCAGGTGTGTATGGTTATTTTGAAATGAAGAGAATTCTGCAATTACTCTAGTGGCATAGCCTACATTACCATAACACAGCATGGAATTAGAGCAAATTGAAAAGCAGTTACAATGCCCTCAACAGAAAGCATCTCTGAGACTAAATGAGGATGTTTGTGAAACAAATGCACATTTTAAACAGCCTTTCGTTAAAAAATATTTGTATTTTGCACTGCCTCCAACCTAGGATAGTTCAATGCAGAAATGTCAATTCTGACAAACACTCATTTTTCCATTTCATTAAGTCTGTCAAAATTAAAAATCTTTCATTTGAATTGAACTTTTTTTCCCCCTCCAAATTCAAATGAAACTTCTCAGTTGGGTGCATGCAGGTTGCAAATGGTTCTTCTGCAGAACCCATCTGTTGGAACACATTGTCATGGTTTAACCCGGCCAGCAGCTAAAACAACCACACAGCCGTTCGCTCACTCCCTGCCACCCAGTGATGGGGGAGAGAATTGAAAATGGAAAAAAAAGTAAAACTTGTTGGTTGAGATAAAGACAGTTCAATAGGACAGAAAAGGAAGATTATGATGATGATGATAATAACAACAACAAAAATAATATATAAAACAAGTGATGAACAGCACAATTTCTCACCACCCAAAGTTGATCCTCTGCAAGACCCCTAGCTCCTCTACCTCTCCCCCTTCTCCCCCCCAGTTATATAGGGAACATGATGTCATATGGTATGGAATATCCCTTTGGCCACTTTGGGTCAGCTGTCCTGGCTGTGTCCCCTCCCAGCTTCTTGGGCACCCCTGCCTTCTCGTTGGCAGGGCAGTATGAGAAGCTGAAAAGCCCTTTTCAGGACTTTTAGGCGACAACTAAAACATCAGTGTGTTATCAACATTTTTCTCCTCCTAAATCCAAACCACAGCACTGTACCAGCTGCTAGGAAGAAAATTAACTCTATCCCAGTCAAAACCAGGACGCATATGAAAATCTGTGTGAAGCTTGCCAGTCCCTCAGCAGATGTATATAGGGCTTATAAATTTTGCAAATACTTCTTATACAGAGAGTAGAGCTCACTGTTTGACAGAGATTGGAAGAGTGTAATTGTTTTTCACAAATGAGTTTTTTCAGGCTTTTTAATAAGTTGATATAATATTGATGTAACATAATGGAGGATGATGAACCTGGTTGGGAAAATAGTAAGCAATGAAGGGAACAAGCCAGTGACAGGCTAATCTGGATTGCTAAATCAGGTGGAAACTAGCAACATGCATTTTACCAGTGCCAAATGCAAAGTTTTTCATCTAAGAACCAAATAGGAGCACAATGCTGGTGGAGGCAGTTCAGGGAGGAGCCACAAGACTGGAATGAAGAGAAAATAAGTATCTTTTCTTATCTCTACTTATTTCCAGGTATCTATAGGGAAAGTCAAAATTTGACAAAGGGTTTTTGAATCTGAAGGCAAAACCAGAAGCACATACTATGCCTGGAAGCTAAGGTTGTACAAATTCTGTCAGAAACATTGTTCACCCTTTTTTAAAAAACAAAACAAAACAAAACAAAACAAACAAACAAACAAACAGTAGGATAATTAACAGTACGATAAAAGAGAAACAAGTTCCTGAAGGTTAGAATGAATATTCTTTTATCAGGAAAATTTTGAGAGACTGAATTGTTTTCGTAAATTACATGCTCTGGTCTGAAGAGAGCAGTCCAGGGAAGTCCAGTGGGCTGTCCTGCACAGAAAGTCACAAGAAATGAATGTGATGGCCTTATCCACAGTGATAACTGATGAATCTTGAATGCATGAGAATCTTTCTGCTGATCATATTTCTGAAAGAACCCAGCATCTGGCCTCTTGGCAATCTACCTCCTTTGTCAAAGTAAAACACAGCTATTTTGGCAATTGCCCCCAAACCCTTGGCACCAGCAGGTGTATCTTTAACTGCTATGGCATTCAAATGAAGTGGTTGTCCATCATTGCCTCACTGCTGTACAAAGTACATGTCAGGCAGAAGTTTAGCCAAACGATGAGAGGTTTAACACAGAGGAAGACCAAAGCTTGCTCCAAAACTTGAGCAACATCACTGAACTGGCAGTAGCTAGAGGGGGTAGGAAGGCATGGCAACAAGAACACCTCCTTGAGGAGAAACTCTCTGCCTTTGGATGTGCAATGAGGTAAGTCGTCTCCACGCTTCTTATGCTCTTACAGATGTCAAGAGCTAACATTATTGTGCATGAAGGGAAGGGGCCTGGGTGAGGCAAAGCTGCAAAGTACTGTCCTGAAGGAGCAACTTGGTGCTTCAGATGTGGTTTGGGGTGTGCGTGGGGAGGAGGCAAGAAAGGATGAAACTGAACTGTAACTCTGTGACCAGGGTACAGCTACTCTGTAAAATGCAAGGTAATGATAATATAGTTTAAAGAGCTAGATTTAGGCAAGCTGGATTCAGTACTGAAGCAATGCTGTTACAGCTGGCAAGAGCTTATACCAGCTGACGTTGGCAAGGGACTAAGCAGCATGGGGGAAGACCATTTCTTAGATAGCTTGATAACAGTCTCAGTGGGTTTTTTTGTTGTTCCTCCTCTGCTGCAAGCTATTTTCCAGCTCTTGGAGATTTCTATAGCTCACATTTCCAGTGAGGTTCAGTATATAGTCTTATGTCGTATAATTAATTAGTCTCTTGTAAGACCTGCATTCATTCTCATTCCATGTGCCCCCTGTTAAATGCTGACCAGAGGACTTGCTAGTTGTATTTGAGGTCGGTAGGTTACAGCTATGTGAATGTCAGTACAATAGGAAACCTCATTTCATGAGAAAGCAGCATTTCCTCTGTGAAACACACCCTGTGTCATGCTATACTCTGTATTCATCATGCAATGACATTTCAGTGGGATGCCTGTAGTATTGGGGAGCTGATAAACTCATATCGTAGCTGCCAGTAGCTTTTTTTTTTTTTTTTTTTGAAGATTAATGAAAAAAAGGTTTCCTGCATAATCTTACAATGAAGGGATTTAGCGATGACCACTAATCCCTTCTAGCTTGCACGGTTGTGAGGCTGAAACGCAATGTCTTAGAAATGAGAACAGAACTGGAAGGAACTTGCATGGTTTCTGATGCAAGACCTGCAGTGTGCCAATCAGCAGAGCCTTTGAGAAAAAGCTCTTTCATCACAACCCATTTTTCTTCTCATAATGCACTGGAATTAGTTGTCCATATAACTCTGAAATGCAGTTTCAAATAGAAAAGTTCAGTAAGTGCCAAAAACCAACACGTCAATTTGACATATGGCAGTTATATTTATGTCAATTACAGTAAAATATCTGGAGTCTTAGATGCTTTGGGATAGCTAGAGAATAAATGACTTTTCAATGTATAAAGAGATCTTGATTACTATAGGGAAAAATGCTTAGAAATATTGCTAAGTAACAAAAAATATCTGAGATGCATCACAGATAGTCATTCCCCACTGTAAGCAAAACTGGTTTATAAAGCTATTATAGGTATTTCCTCTTTTCCACAAAAGAGAGAACTGCTAAAGAACTTTTTTCCCCTCCCAACTTTTGGTAGTATGTGCTACCTAAAAATGAAAATAAGCTAACAAACCTGTTGTACAAAGAGAGGAACTATTTGTGAAGTTAACAACACTGCAGTATTAAAAGAAAAATTGCAAAAACTCACTGAGGAGAAACTCCCCTCTTGTGTTGTGGGATTCACCGGTGGAATGAATGATGTATCAGAGTCAGTTTTAAATTACAGTTCAGGTAGCAGTAGCAGTATAACTGGGATAGTACAGAGCCCAGCACTATTCAATTTTCCCCGCTTCTTTCCTGTGACTGCAGTGTGGACATCCTCTTGATACTTTCATAGATGCAAACATGCTTCAGGATAACAACCCACCTGAACTCTTCCCCTCCCACATCATCTTGTAGTACTTAAAAATCCTACCAGAAGTTACATTTAGAATTATAAGAATTATATTTAATCTCTCTTTGAAACAGTGATATATTAAGAATGTATAGCATACTTACTGAACTTGCTATTAACTTTCATCTAGCCTCAGCTCAGGCCAGGCAGGCTTATTTGCACTAACCCAGGATGTCCTTTCCTAAAGTTTTCTAACAGCCAATTTTGTAACACCCAGTTACCACATATTAGATGTGAAATGGCCCTAAGCACCAGGACAGCACTGCCCACGCTACTCGGTCTGGCAGGATCCGAGCAGGATCTCCATGGAGCCTGGGTATCCATGGTGTTTAATCCCTTACTCGGATAAACTGTCCACAGAGAAGAAGGAGTTGACTGTAATGTGTGCAAAACAGCTCTCAGTAACAAACAAAATTTGTAGCTTTGATAGAGCAACATATGGTTATTATCTGGCTCTGGGAAGGGCAGATTTATGTTGCAAGTAAACAAACTGATGAATGAGTAGCAGAATCTGAACAATCACTCTGATCTTCACTGCAAAGCCATGCAGATGCTCAGAAGAGAGCAGAACTAATGACACAGATAGCTCAAAACCACCACAATCATGTCATTTCCCTAAGGATCTCTTCTTCCCACATATTACTAACTCATGCTTGTTCTTAAGGGTATGACTAGCAATGTCTTAATGCAGCTTCTCTGCTCAACCTTTTTTCTCTAGGCTGGAGGAGTTTGGGTAAAACTACTGGTTACAGCCTGTGCCAGCTGTGAGATTTGTGGATTATCCCTCAAGCAAGATCCAGGTGGAAAGCTTTTCTGGGTTTTCAGTTGGGCCCTCTCATTCCTACCTTATCTTAGCTTTTATGTATTCTTTCATTTCCAGAATATGTTCAAGGAAGATTTCCGGAACATGATTGAAGAGAACAGGAACAGCAATGACTCCTCGTCTGCCTTCACTCACACCAACACCACGAGTGCCATACTGATTACTGCCTACTCAGTTGCCTTTGCTGGAGGTGGGATCGGGTCCATCACAATGTTGTTTGTGCTGGTCAAGATGAACACTTTGTCTGTGACGACTACAGCCATCATTAACCTGGTCGTTGTGCACAGCCTCCTCCTCTTCACGGTGCCCTTTCGCCTGCACTACTATGTCAACAAGAAGTGGGTATTTAAGATGCCATTTTGCAAAATAGTGAGTGCAATGGTGCACATCCACATGTACCTGACTTTCCTATTCTACGTGATCACGCTGGTGATCCGGTGGCTCATCTTCTTTCAATGGAAGGACAAGGTGGAGTTTTACAGGAAGCTGCACGCCATTGCGGCCAGTGCTGCCGTGTGGGTCTTTGTCATGGTCTTTGTGGTGCCAGTCTTGTGCTTTGAGTACGGACGCTCAGGCTCATACAATGATACAACATGCTTTAAGTTCCACAAAGAACTACAGCAGGAGAGCGTGAAAGCCCTGAACTACACCATAATTGTAGCTGTCGCCTGCATTACTTGTGTCCTCTTGGGCCTGCAGTTTTTCATCCTGGTAAAAGTGGCAAGAAAACTTTCCACCTCCGTCTGGTCACACCAAGAGTTCTGGGCCCAGGTGAAAAACTTGATTTTCATCTGCGTCATCATAGTTTGCTTCCTTCCCTATCACCTCTTTAGGGCCTACTACATACAGCACGTGAGTGATTTTGACCAGTTAGAAAGTTACAATGAAGTTTTTTTGAGTCTGACTGCCCTCAGCTGCCTGGACCTGCTGTCATTCGTGCTAAGCGGAAGCCGTCTCTTCAAGCAAAAGGTGGGCATGCTGCGCAGCAGGTTGTCTTGCTGCTAGCATCAGCCTCCTGCAGCACGCGTGGACCTGGACCTGGCAAAGCACAGCGCTGGGCAGGCAGGGCAAACCCCCTCCTCAGCAAGTCACGGTGGGCGCTGGAAACAGCGCAACGCACTCGTGCAGGGCTCTGCATGCCTGCTCCTCAAAATAATGGGGTGAACTGCCTCCAGTGTCTCAGCTGGTCAACTGGAAGGTTACCTCTGGGATTTCTTCACGGTGCTACCTAGTGACTTGCGGATGCACCTGGAGGAGAGGGAGGAAAGGGCATGGGCTCTTCTGTCTTACTCTTGTTACATCACGGTTTGTCAAGTGGAAGGCACTAGGAGGAGACTCAAGAGAATTTGAAAAGTATGTAGAAACACAGATAGAAAAGCAGTTTTTCTTACAGAATAAGGTACAGATTTTTGAAACATAAAGATCTATATAATTTTCCACATACATTTCTTATTTATTCCTCACAAGCTCTCATAAAATAGCAGGGAACCTATTGTTCCTCCTGAGGAGGTCTGTTCCTCCACTGAGGAGGCAGAAAAGGCCTTGGCTCTGTGTAAGCACTGCTCAGCAATAACTAAAACATCCCTGAATTACCAACACTGTTTCCAGCACAAATCTAAACCATAGCCCCATACTACCTGCTATGAATAAAATGAACTCTCCCCCAGCCAAAACCAGCACTTAAAGACAAGCGTAACTTTCTAACTCTTTAAAAATAAACCAACAATAAATAGTTGTTTCTTGAACTATTTACTCAAAATCATCTTTTGGAGATGGTATCACTGCAGCAGAAAAGAGTTTTGTTCTCTTTCCCACATTATGAAAATGTCTCTAACAACAAAAATCACACATTGTTACTGAAATGAACATTGTAAGTTCAGACAAAAGCCTGTATTTTTATTTACAGAATTGTTGAATTAAAAAAAAATAATAGTGAAGATCATTTTATTTAGATCATTCAGACAGCAGTTGTCTTCTTTTAAAAAGTAAAATTTTTTAGGTCTCCAAGGCAACAATGTTTTTTTCTTTATCCTGTGTTGATTGTGTGCAATTCTGAAGTTTATAACTAATTACAGTATCTTTAGCTTGAAATCAATTCTATAAATTTAGTAGCCTGTACTGGTAGAAGAAATTAAAATGTTACTGCTTGGATTGGAGGGATGGAAAAAGCTAATAAACCTGGTGTAGTTAAAAAGCTTATTATATCTCAGTGAGGTATTGTCAGTTGCTATCTCTGAAGAAAGAATTGAATTCCACTAGAAAAGAGGAAAAATTCAGCAAAATAATTCTGTGAAAGATATTCAGGCTTTCATAGCTCAGCTGCTTTACACCTGTCCCCCCAAAAAAAGAGTATAAATCTCTGACTACTATAACCCAAGACAGCAATGGCTAACATATCTTTCTTCTTCTTGCCATCTGCATAAGGTCACATTTTTTCATCTAGAGTCAGTAGGATAATATTTTAATCATTTGACAAATTAGAGGTTATCAGCGGGTAGAATTCCAGTGATAGTCTCTCCTCATGATGCTGTTGAAGTCCACCTTTTCATTCTTCTGAATCTTTCCATCCCTTTCTACTTCACCGTCAACACTTCTTGCACATCAGACAGCAATTGAATAAGGATTGGTTGACCTTGCTGTACCTGTACAATCTTGGCGCTATGCTCGTTGCTTTTGGTCCCACCAAGATGGTTACTTTAAAGGATCCTGTCTCTTCTATAGCCTTTTTTTCCTGACTTCCTTCTTGCTTCAAGCTCCTGTATATCTCTTGGGAGGTCTGATGATTGCAAGAAAGTTTTTTCAGGTCAGAGCCTGAGTAATGCTATATAACACCAAAAGTTGGAAATCACTGAAATTCATAACACAAGTGAGATGTGGGGGTGCTCACATGGCCCACCCTTGGCAAATAGTCTGGATCACAACATCTGTTAACATAGAAATGTTAGAGCTTGCAGGGTGTGTGGATCTGAGAAAAAACTATCCAAGAAGGCATTTGCCCCAAAAGGATCACAGTAAAGATGAAGACGACTACCAGCCAGATTCCACAGTAGTCATGGAACTACGGAGACTTTCATAACATGGAAGGAGTCAACTTGAATGTGTAGTTCATTACTAGTTAATTATATGTTGTTAAGAAAGTAATAAACTTCTCTGATCCAGATTTGTTTTAAAATCACACAAGCAAACCAGTTTTTCCTTGCAGCAGAAGAGAAAATGGAAAATGGCACAACATTTTTGTTTCCTTCTATAACAACATTGTTAGTGAAAGAAAATACCTTGCATGTGTTCTGTAGGCACTGCATACCTTTGTAACACTATATTATAACCCTTCTGTCATAATAAAGTTGTTAACAAACAAAATGACTATGTGCTGAAAAAGTTAAGCAAGTCCTTCCTGCAAACGTGCGTATAAATGAAAAGCATTTTGTATCTGAATTTGTCAAGACTTTTGAAAAATTAACCATGTGTTTACACACAGTACCTCCTGATCATACAGCTTAACCAATGCTGTTAATGTATGTGTTAAAATCACAAGTTGTTTAATTCTTATAAAAATGTACACATTCACAATATATTGCACCATAGCATCACAAAAAATACTAGATAGTGTTTTTTTTCCCTAACTAAAATTGATGCCAATGATGTTAACGCTAACTCAGGATGATAATGAGCAGAATTAGGGGGTCGGAATCCCATGCTTTAAGTTGGTGACACTATTCAGCACCAGGTGATGCTTTTTACGGGACTATCTGTGCAAACTTTACATCTGCCGCTTGTCTCACTTTGTGACTGTCAGCGTCTGCCAGAGAACGAAGGCTCAGTTAACACTGGCTTTTACAGGAATTGCCCTGCCAGGTGGTGACAGAGGTGATGCTTCCTGCAAGGGTGCTGACAGGGCTTGCAGGGAGGACCAGTTGCTGCTCCCTCCAGCCGGTGCCCCTCCCTGGCTTCTTGCTCTCTCCCACCCTCCCAGGCACCCTCCCTGCTCGTTTCCCCCAGGAGGGCTGAGGAGGTGCTGCCAGGCAGTGCCACAGAAGGAGAAGAGCCCAAATAACTCTTGATAACAAAATCGTAAAGGCCATAGCAGCATCCAAAATGTAGCCAAGTGGCTCCTGCGAGTGGGGATGGCAGAGGCAGTGATGGGGAGCTGCTGACATGTGAGAGATGATCTATAGAGGAAGGGGGAATTTCTAGTTACCATCATCTGCTTGGTCAGAGGCACCATAGGCTTAAAGGAGACCCTGAGTTTGTTGGCTCTGGATAGTTCTGGATTAGAAAACAACCACCTGAGAACACAAAAAGCTGTATTACAGCAGGACATGGAGAGGATAGGACCTGGACAATGTGACAGGGGATGAGGATAGGAGAGCAGAATATCAGTGTGTTTCTGCCACATAGTGGCAAGATGACATAGACCGTGTCTCTCGCCTTCACCTCATGTTGCTTATTGAACTCTTAAAGTTGCCAAAAAGTGGCACTCTGACGGGCGCAAACTTGCCCTCCACCACTGCTTGTTCCCTCTCCCACATTGCTCTTTCCATACATTCGGGATTCTTCCACTGAATAGTTTTCATCTGTATCACCTCCCTCTCTGGCTCACTAGGGAGCCATGCAAAATTGAACCAATGCAAGGATAAATACAGCAAGATTGCTTTTTGCAGCAATGCTCATTTAGGGCATTTATCAGGCTGTAAACCTACCCACCTAATTCCCCTTAGGATCCAGATCTTTCCTTTCCAGGCAGTTTTCCATGGTTCCACATCACTTCTCATTTCCATTTCCACGTGCTCCCAAAAGGTCCAGGGTGCCTTAGACTAGAAGTGCTGGTAGAGGAAGGAGGGACCTCCACAGTTTCAGACCAGGAAAAGGGGATTCAGGCACTTGATGCTCTCTCCAGAGATGGGCAGAGATGGGCATGGCAACCCCAGAAGGTCGCAGAGGTAGCAGTTCCTGAACAGAAACCTCAATGGAGTTGCAGGACTGGACATTTGTGACCCATACAGCCACTCATTTCTGCTGTTCTCAGGGAAATAGGACTTTATGTGCACTTTCCCCTGTACGTAAACCCCATGGCTAGGACCTAATTGCAAACAAAGTCTGGTTTCAAAAGGCAAGGGGTCATTAATAAAACACCAGCTTGGCCTCCCAGCCAGAAACTTCAAAGAAATAAATTAAACTTTCTGGTACTCAGTGAGGTAATTTTCCTCACTTGCAAACAGTTGCTTAATAAGCCAGATTTTTGTTGAAAAGACAAATACCAATAAAGATAATATACAGTATCCGTTCCTTGAAGTATACCTGTATGTAATATATAATCCTCTTTCCTTTGGCGAGGCCAGCTGGCTGCTTTGTCTCTCAACCAGTAATATTTCCATTTCTCCCAGTAATGCCTCCAGTTTGGGAGTACCTGGCTGGTTTTGCTCTTCAGCTCTGGTAGCTCTGCCCTCAATGAATTGTGTGCTACCCATGTGGTGGCTGGGGCTCACCTGACTCTGAGGTCTTGCTGATGGAAACGGTGCAAGTCCCATAGCTGGGAAGGGTAACACACAACCAACTGAGGGCTCAGCTATCAAATCCACAGCCAACCCCATCCATAGCAGGGTCATGGTCAGGAAGGGACACATGCCCAATGACAACAAAAGAGGCAAGACAGATGTTAGCACAGAAATTTAATGGCATCTCCAAATGCTTCATCTGAACCTGGGAAGCAAGACCCTGACTTGTGCTCGGCAGAGGCTGCACGCTAAGGGAAGGAGACTCTTGGGAAAGAGCTCACAGCCTCTCATCTGTTTTGGAGGTCTACAGCATAGAGGAACACAACAACCTGCCTGTGGCTGAGGGGGGAGGCATACACTAGTGGTGGCACCATGGTCTCCAACAGAGACATGTAAGAATTGCAGGTAGGACTTTGTCTCCCCAATGCTTTTCCTCAGCGGATGTGAGACCTTACAGAGACTCCACTAGTCAGATGCTACAAAAGCACAGGAGCAAATAAGAAAATAAGA